GAAGCTTGTAATTTCAGTAACATTTAGGGGATTTGTGTCCGATAAGGTAACTACTAACAAAGAAATTTCTTAAAGAAATTGAAAAGCATTTTGAGAAAAATGATAAGGTTGAGACTAGTACGCTTTTGGCAAACTTGGTTTTACTAAAGCACTCACTTGACAAATACCTTTGAGGACAAGTTAAAGAATAAGGAAGTCACATCTGGTTCAGTTCAAAAGAACAGCAAAAGTCGGTAAAGCATAAATCGTCTATCTATTACTTTTGAGAAAAATTGGGACACATAAAAAGGAATTGTACTAAATACCACGTTTGAAGTGTAAATAAAAGTACATTTTTCACTTTGGCTTGTTTAGAGGCTCATTTACTTTCAATACCTAGACGCACTTGGTGGATAAATTTCGGTGTAACTGTGCAAGGTTGTCTAAATAGCCGAAAGCTAATTGATACTAAAAGATTCATCTATGTGGGGCGTAGACAAATTAGTTAAAGTTGAGACTATAGGGACTTTTAGGTTATTATTAAAGAATGATTATTATTTGAATATAAAATAGATATTGCGGTACCGCCTTTTAGACAATATTTAGTTTCTATTTCTACATTAAACAAATTTGATTACTTTTGTTAAATTGAAAATAACCAGTTTGATATTTTTCGTAATTCAAATATTGTTGTACCAGTTCTTTATTTAGTTATGATAACCTATGTTTTCTTAATACGATTGCCTCTTATAAAGAAACATTGCATGTGAATTCAGTGGTATTAAACATATTCGCCAGTGAGAATTTTGCTTCATTATGGTACAAGTGATCGTGTCACATCTCTTAAATGAGAAATGAATAACTTGTGTTAGAAGGAATTCTTGGTCCCTCTGATTTTACGGAACTTAATGTCTGTGTTAATTACATTAAGGGAATTAAAACAAATATATGAAGATTAGGTATCAATAGGACTTCAAACGTCTTAGAACTAATTCATATGGATGTCTGTGGACCGTTCCCTTCAACTTCTTGAAATGGTCAATAGTCATATATTACGTTCATATACGATTATTCTCACTATGGCCACCTGTATCTCATTCATAAGAAATTTCAATCACTAGATATGTTCAAAGCTTATGAGGCTGAAGTTGAGAATCAACTCGGCAAANGCGATGACAAATCAATTAAAGTTAAGACTATAGGGGCTTTTAGGTTATTATTAAAGAATGGTTATTATTTGAATATGGAATAGATATTTGCGGTACTGTCTTTTAAACAAAATTTAGTTTCCATTTCTACATTAAACAAGTTTGGTTACTTTTGTTCAATTGAAAATAGGCCATTGAAAAATAAATTTGACTCCTATTAAAAGATTAATCTATGTGGGCGATGACAAATCAGTTAAAGTTAAGACTATAGGGGCTTTTAGGTTATTATAAAGAATGGTTATTATTTGAATATGGAATAGATATTTGCGGTACTGTCTTTTAAACAGAATTTAGTTTCCATTTCTACATTAAACAAATTTGGTTACTATTGTTTAATTGAAAATAGTCAATTTGATATTTTTTATAATTCAAATATTGTTGTACCAGTTCTTTATCTGGTTATGATAATCTATATTTGCTTAATATTATTGCCTCTTATAAAGAGACATTGCATGTGAATTCACATGGCATTAAACATAATTTAGCAAGTGAGAATTTTGTTTCATTATGGTATAAGCGATAATGTCACATCTCTCAAAAGAGAAAGGAATATCTTGTGTTAGAAGGAATTCATGATCCCCTTGATTTTACGAAATTTCATGTTTGTGTTAATTACATCAAGGGAATTCAGACAAATGTATGGAGATTAGGTGTCAATAGGATTCCAGACGTCTTAGAACTAATTCATACGGATGTCTGTAGATCATTCCCTTCGACTTCTTGAAATGGTCACTAGTCACATATTACCTTTATAGACGATTATTCTCGCTATGACTAGTTGTATCTCATTCATAAGAAATCTCAATCACTGAACATATTCAAGACTTACGAGGCTGAAGTTGAAAATAAACTTGGCAAAAGAATTAAACAATTCAGATCTGACCGTAGTGATGAATACTATGGAAGATATGAAGGAACAATGTCCATGATCTTTTGCTAAATTTTTGGAGGAATGTGAAATCATCATACAATATACCCAAATCTCTATAGGAAGAAGCACTAAAGATACAACTTAAATTCTCAATAAAGTTTCAAGTAAAACAACTGTTAAAATCCCTTATGAGTTTTGGACAATAAGATGCCTAATTCGAAACACTTACATATTTGGAGTTGTCCAGTTAAAGTAATGCCTCATAGGCCCTCGAAAAATAAACTTGACTCTAAAATTGCCAGTTGCGAATTTATTGGATACTTTGAAAAGTCAATGGGTTAAAAATTTTAAGATCCCACTACAAAATCAATTTTCGAAATGGGAAATGTTAAATTCTTTGAAAAATGTAGAGTTTGTGGAAGGAGATAAGGGTATAAGATTAATGTCGTCTTGGATGAAGAATATATATATTCTTATTTAAGAAGCAATTTTGGATCAAAATAATATTACAAAATCCGCTATACACAATCAAAAGATTATTTTAGAAGAACAAACTCGATGACCTCAAGAACAAATGCTAGTAAGGAGATTCACTAAAGAAAAGAGAGACAATTTGGATGACTTTATACTTTCATCAAATAAGGCAAAAGGAATAATTCTGAACAATAGGTTATGTCATGAATGAAGGGATAAAGATGATGATGCTTGGGAACTCACCACACTGCCTAAAGGTGCGAAACTCATTAGTTTTAAATGGATATTTAAAGTTAATAGAGATTCAAAGGATAATGTGAAGAGATATAATATTTGTCTTGTTGTAAATGATTTTACTCAAAAGGAAGACATTGACTTTAAAGAGATATTTTCTCTAGCTTCTATGAAAGACTCTTTTAGGACTATTATGACATTTGCTTGATCTTGAGCTACATCATATCGTTTACAAACTAAAGAAATTCATCCATGTGCTTAAGCAAGCTTCTCGTCAATCGTATCACAAATTTCATCAAATAATTATTTCGTCAGTTTTAAGGTGAACACAGTTGATGATTTTGTATACTATAAGTTTGATGGGCGTAAGTATATTTTCCTGGTATTGTATATAGATGACGTACTAATTCCCTACAATGATATAGGCTTATAATACAAAATCAAGATATTTCTATCATGAAATTTTGAAATTAAAGATTTTTGTGACGTCTGTTTTGAATTTAGGATACAATTACACTAGGATCATTCTCAGAATATTTTTGAATTACTACAAAAGAGCTATATGGAAAATATTCTTAAAAGATTTAGCCCCCGTTTGGCCCCCCATTTATTTTTATTATAACTGGGGAAATAGTGTTTTTTGGAAAATGGATGGTTGTAAAAGAATAAATAGTTTGAATTTATGTGTAATATTATTTTATTGAAAATTATGTGGTTAAAAATAGGAGAGAGTGAAATTTAATTTAATTTGATGATATTTAGTGGGGGTCAAACGTGGGCTTAAGATGCAAGATTGTAAATCGGGTGATACCCTTGTTATTAAGGGAGACAAGTTTAATCTCAATAAATGCCCTAAAAAATAAACTTAAAGAAAATGAAATATTAAAAATTCCTATGTTTCAGCAGTTGAGAGTTTAATGTATACTTAGAATTGCACACATTTGGATATGGTATTCATTGTTTTAATGTTAGGTAGATATTTAAGTAACTCTGGAATAGATATTCGAAAAGTAGCCAATTAGGTTATTTCGGTATTTACAAAGAACTAAGGATTGTGTGATCACATTCAGAAAAATCAAACCAGTTGAAGATCAATGAATATTCTGATTTTGATCATGGAATATGACTGCAAAATTTTGACATTGGACTGCGTATTTTGGATGGAATTAAAAAAATCACTTAAATTATTTTGTGATAATAGTAATCTTGTATTCCAACAGGAGCTAGATGATGTCAAAGTTTATATAAATTAAATTCCTAATTGTTAAGAAAAGAATTCTGTCAGGTTTCCATGAAACATAGTATGACAAGCTCTATAACTGGGAATCCACTTACTAAGGGACTATCACCAAATGTCTTTCCTAAGCATACTGTTCACATGGGTGTTGCATCTTTTGATGACATGTCAATTAGTTGGGGTTTGTATTAGGATGTTATCTGTTTTAGAGATGTAATTTTATCCATGGATATTCAGTTCAATTCAGAAATAAAGTATTCAATTCAATTTCAATATGATTAAAGTTTTGGTTTGATCTCATCAAAGAATAAGGTAGTACCAATTGAAAATAGATATGTTTGAATCACATTACATGTAATTTTCATGCTATACATCCATAATTGATCTATTTCATTTGATTTGTGTTGATATACATGATCATTATGGGTTTATATATGATACTTGTAACAAAGACCACTTTAATCCTATATTGACATAACTAATGGAAGAGATTGTTTGAACATGTTTTTGATTATGATAACAAAAGTTTTTGAGCTCACGAGCTTATACGCATTTATAAGGTAATGGCCCAAGTGGAAGATCGTTGGGAAAAATATTAATTTGTTATGTGGGCTGATATATGTAATTAATTGTATATATATTTTATCTTAAAGTTAAGTTCAAAAGTAAAGTGATCTAATAGATAATTAAATTATTGGACTTATGGCATCTAAATAACTTGTGGACGATATTATATGTAGAGACCAAATTTCTTTATAGGCGAAATACTTATGAATATATATAGGGTTATGGTCATCAATTCACATGCGATTTCTTATTTTTTGTGTCATCTAATTAACATAAGAATACAGGAGAATATATATTAAAGAGGAAGATCCAAAATCTACAATCAAAAATCAGAATCAAGAGTCCAGAACTATAATCAAGAATCAAGAAGAAAGATTGAAGCAATTAAATTGAAGAACGAGACAATAAAGATTAAAAGCAAGAAGATAAATTAAGAGGAGATTAAAGTATGTTCCGTATTTTATAATTCTCTTGGTGATTTGACATGGAGGATCTTCTCAATAAAGGAATTTAAGTTATCAAGCTCTAAAGTTTCAAAGTTTCATAAAATATTCAACAATGTCGCCTTAAAACAAGATAAATCTGCTAGCATCCACAGTGACTTTCAAGATAAACATTATTCTTCCAGATAAAGACTCCCAAAGGTTTACTCCAAGTCTGAATCAACAGATACATATGATTTTGGAATTATAGAACGCTGTTGGTGAGGAAATGAAAAAGGACCCCCTGAACTTTCCCAACTGGTCTTCCCCAGTTTATTGTCATTTGTACCAGGAAGCAAAGAAGCTGCCAAAAACACGAGGAAAAAAAAAATCAATAACAAAGTCGCTATTATAATAATATTTTAACGAATGTGATACACGCCCGCATAAAGAGGTCCTAGGTTAGAGGGTTGAGAACTTCCTGCCAAGCGTTTGTCGGGCCCAACACCTCGGCCTCCCAGTGAACTTCTAAAATTTAAATCAGTTATCAACTTCATCAAAACAGATAGTGCCTGACCTGTCGCAATTTGACTATTGCTGTGACAATGAAATTTTCAAATTGACGCTTCCTCTGCCTGAGGCGTTTAAAATAAGTTACGCCCGCATAAAGAGGTCCTAGGTTAGAGGGTTGAGAACTTCCTGCCAAGCGTTTGTCGGGCCCAACACCTCGGCCTCCCAGTGAACTTCTAAAATTTAAATCAGTTATCAACTTCATCAAAACAGATAGTGCCTGACCTGTCGCAATTTGACTATTGCTGTGACAATGAAATTTTCAAATTGACGCTTCCTCTGCCTGAGGCGTTTAAAATAAGTTGTGTGGCTAAGCTTTGACCACTGAGGTCGGTTGGTCAGGATGCTCATCTGACCAAAGTAAAAATGTTGGCATGACGATGGCTGAGGCTCATACCAACTGTTACCTCTAGCTGAGATGGTCATCCACATGGCACCATTGCACATATCAACCTGATCTGACAACCCAAATCACCCTAGAACACTGAACTGCCATCCACGCAGCAAGTATAAAATATAAGTTCAGCTTGGAACAATCACCTTGAGGTCAGCAGTTAAAGCACTGACAAGCTGAAGACCTTGGATGAGGAAAGAAGTCAGAAATCAAAAGGAGCACCACATTGTGGTAAGACAAAGGTACTAGAGCCCAGTTTGACCTAAAACCCAACCCAACATATAATGACTGTCTATACAGACCTAAAGGAAAGCTGGGTATGGCATGCTTGCGAATTCAAGCATTGGCAGTCTACCTACCCAAAGTGCTGTGACCGTGAATCCAGGACATGGTCGTCTAACTAAACCTGCAGGACAGTTCCCAACTCCTATAAAGACCTCCAAGCCATCACTCCAAGTAATTTATTTCAGGATCGGTTTCTATTCAGCCACATAATTGGCTAATCCTATCTCCCATGGCTGGGCTCACAAACAGGTGTTCGTTTCTATGACTTCTCCAAGCCATCACTCCAAGTAATTTATTTCAGGATCGGTTTCTATTCAGCCACATAATTGGCTAATCCTATCTCCCATGGCTGGGCTCACAAACAGGTGTTCGTTTCTATGATTTCTTACAATTATCAGGTTCATGCTGTTGACCTGAGACGCTCAGCAGATTCTGATGTCAAAACACGCGCTCGCAACACACACACACACACACACACACACACACACACA